TTTTAGATTTTGAAGATATTTGAACTCTAATTAAAAACGAATTCTACTATTTTAATGTTATATCAACAGGTAGTGCAGGAAACCGCCGAAGACGAGGATGATGGGGAAAAATATTTTTGCTGTGATTGTCAGTTAATATTCAGTGATTTGGAAAGTGCAGAGCAACATGTTTGTAACGCGCTTAACCCAGAAACTGTAGAAGCGGTAGATGCGGATATATGTACCCGAAAAATTCAAGATTATAGCACTAACATCCAATGCAAAGCTACTGAAGTACAGTATCATTGTCTTCAATGTGAACAGAAATTTAATTCGCTACAAGGCTTACAAATTCACAGTCGCAGCCATAAACCCAAAGAAACGAGAGCAAAGAGTAGCAATGCATCGGAAGTAAAGGAAATAAAGAGCACAACATGTCCGATATGTAATACCACATTTGCTTCATATAAAAACCTTAAGTAAGTTTAGGCTTTTATATTTCGTCTTATTATACATACCATTATATCTATCATTCAGATTGCATATGAAAATCCACGATGCACAACAGGTGCGTACAATCGAGCAAGCGTTACCTGCTGGCGCTAAAACGCAGTACAACGACATGAATAAGTTTTTCTGCGAAATTTGCAATAAAAGGTTGGGTATTTACTTTTATAAAGTAAACGTTTCTAAAGCAATCAAACCCTTGACCTATTTGTCATTACAGTTTTGAGCAAAACTTGCTGGGCATACATAAAAACATGCACCAGCAGGCAGCAGAGTACAAATGTGGCATCTGCAATCGAAACTTTGAGAATAAGACTAGCTATGATATGCATATGCAAATGCACGCCGACAAACCGACAAAGTCACGCAAACCTCCAGCCAAGCCAGGGGATAACACTGTTGACGATAAGAGAAATGGACGCTTCCCGTGTCAATATTGCGGTCGAACTTTCCAGCGACCATTTGAGAAAGTGCGCCACGAGCGTGTGCACACTGGTGAGAAGCCACACGCATGCGAAGTATGCGGCAAAACTTTTCGGGTATCCTACTCACTGACGCTACACTTGCGCACGCACACCGATATACGACCATATGTGTGCGCAACTTGCAATAAGCGGTGAGATTAAAAGCGCGGGGTAACCGCAGTAAAGAATATTAATTTGAAACCGATTTAAGTGTTAATATTCAAAATTATATTTAAATTTGTTTTCTCTATCGCTTTAGTTTCAAATCACAGTCTGTGTATGCGCATCATCTAAGGACCCATGAAGCAGAACGCGCCTACAAATGCGAGACGTGTTCGAAAAGTTTTCGCAATTCTGTACAACTTTCAGCACATCGTAATGTTCACTCTAAACCTTATAATTGCCCTGTCTGCAATCGACCCTTTGCCTCACTTTATTCAGTGAAAATACACATGAAGACGCACAACAAGCCAAATCGCACTAGTGACGTTACCAAATACAAATGCTATATATGTGGTGCGGAATATGCGCGCATTCCCGCATTGCGCCTACATATGAAAGATTTACATCTTATCGATTTTGATACGAATCAATCTTTGGAGTTGGATGATGAGGTGATATCAGGGGAAGAACAAAATTCCCAGCCTCTGCAGGGCATTGAGGATAACGATGATGAGCAGGAGGTTGATCACGAAGCTGCTGTGCTAATTGCTGCAGCTGCAGAGGCCGATTGCGCAGCTTACATAGAGGCCGCAACAGCTCAATCGTCAGATGCCGCGTCACCGGGTACAAGTGGCATTGGACTGCATGAGCAGGTTAATCCAGACTACGAGGTGACGCTCCAAAATGACGAAGCAAAATTTAAGCGTGTATTACTTGGTGTCTAATTAAATTACTTGTTCTTTTTAGCTGATTGTGGACAACTACGAGACCGAGGAGATTGTCACTGATTGGATGTCAAAGTAGTTTTGAAGCAACGATTAGGTAATTGTGAATAAGTTAGTTATATTAAAACAGGTTATGTAGTAAGAATTAAACAAAAATAATCCCATACTTAACAAAATTCAGCTTGCTATACGATACTTTCAGTTTATATTAAATAAGTTTAGGCTGCCGTCTAATATGCTCGAGGTCCAGCATAGGCGATTGAAGTGTCAAAACACGTGGTGATGCTCTAGGCTGTTGTTGCGGTTGATATGGTGATTGTTCCTGTTGCTGCTGTCGTGTTCCCTGTGTTATTGGCGAACGCACTGGTGTTAATAGCTCTTTCCCTTCATCGTACTCCTCTGGCAGCAGTCGATATTTCTTTAAATATTTGTAAGAAGCATTTGACATATCGCTTGGTTGCTTTTCGATATTTTCTATTGGTCGCAAGGGTGTAGCAGCTTTCTGTTGTGCTGCTGGTGCAATATTTAACTCCTGCAGTAGAACATTCAATTGCTCATTGGGTAAATATTTCAGTGCCAGCTCGTTCATTAGCATGCTTTTTTCGGTACTCGGTTTATTTGGCATTGCCTCGGCAGTAGTTGGTATGGTATTACGCGGTGTGGGCGCTTGATAAGCGGTGGATTGGGCAGTAGGTTGACGTGGTAATTCTAACGCAAAGGCCGGTAACTCCTTATGCGGTTTATATCGTCCATTCGAGCCATTAGATGAAGGAAGTGTATTATATTCTTCGATAACCTCGTATTGTTGATGAGCTATTGGGACTTGCTTTTCCTTAGATTCATAACAATCACCAACGTTATACTGTGTACACGCGTTCTGCCGTGTTATCGATATTTGCGGAGAGCGGGTCTGTTGAACTAAAAATGATTCCATAGTATTCATTAGGCGCTGCTGCTCCATGCGCATATCTCCAAACATCGTAAATAACTTTTGAAAATCTTCCTTTGTTGCCAGGTGTTCTAATAATCCAGATTCGCGCCTGGGAGAATCTGAAATGAGGGCGGCTTCTGTTTGTGTGCCTGCACATATGGTGAGGACATCCAAGTTTGATCGGTACGTTTGAGCCGTTGTAGTGCATGCATCAAACGAGCGGCGCTGAAAGTTTTCCTGTGAGCATAACGGCTGCTCTATGCTGCGACGGTACTGTTGCATTTGCGTAGTTATGCCATTAAGACTAGCTGCAGCATTTGAATTTGCGATAATAGGCATTTGTGTTACATTAGCTGTTACAGGGCGAAGTGGATACAAATTTGACGTTATGTTCCCATTCGTCGGAGCTGCGGTTGTGCTGGAGGCCATGGGCACTTTGGCACCACTTACAATGTTTGAGCCAACTACGTGACCGTTGATACTGTATACTTCGGCACCTGCTGGTGGGAAAGATACTTTAGGAAGAAGTTGTCTTTTCCATGCAGCGTATGTTTGCTGTGGTTGATTCGGCGTATCATTTGGGGCTGTTTTTGAATTGGCGGAATCTGCTTGCTGAGCGCCAATCAAAATTGAGACTTCAGGCACAGTCGGACGCACTATTGTGGCGGTATTCATATCCAATGGCACACTTGGCGTAGGCGCGCAACGCGGTAGCATATCCTCAGTTTCGGGTTGAAACATTTTTTGAGATTTATGGCTTTTTACTACTGAAACAAGGCTATATCCAAATTGCAGCCAGCAGTAAAAGAAATTCAAATTAGATTAGGTCTGGAGTTGCCATATGACTGGTTTTCAAAAGTAACGCTAGAATAGACTATCAATATCCAGGCGTTTCCATTTGAATGTGATGTCCAGGCGAATTGTGCTGATTGTCAAAATGATGCGTTTATTGTACGATTTTTGTGTTCTGATTGTTATTGCACGTACAATTTGTTTGTTTATTTATTATTATTTTATTTTTTTTTTTGATTTTGTGCTGCCGCTATCACCTTATCTCAATTCNTTTATTGTACGATTTTTGTGTTCTGATTGTTATTGCACGTACAATTTGTTGGTTTATTTATTATTATTTTATTTTTTTTTTTGATTTTGTGCTGCCGCTATCACCTTAGTAGTAGTAGATAAATGACTCTTATTCGATTATTGCTTTTCCATGGTATTATGCATGTCGATTTCTCGTTCAATAAGCGACTGTGAATAGAACAAACAAACAGTTGTAGAAAAATGAGCGACTATAAACTATCAACACGCACTTATTGATCGAGAAAACGACTTTGAAAATACCACGAAAAATTTACAATCGACTAACAGTCGTTTTTCTACTACTAGTCGACACTCGCAATACGGGTGATATTTTACAATTATTAAAAGTATAAGCACAATTAAACCGCTGCGCGAACTTTGTTGATGGAGCGATGCCGTGGGGTGTTATTCGCAGCAACATTTCGAACAGTAAAACAGAACGGAAACGAAATACGCATCAGTTGAATGACAAATAGAAGATAATAAAATACAAAAGCGAAATAATGAATCGGCATATTTTCCAATTCTGCCTATTCCTGATAATTATCTGCTAGAAAAGTGAAGAATCAAACCTGTTTTATCACTGGCAACTGATTTTGCGCCTACGTGGTCGGGAGTGACATTTTTGTCATTGGCGGTTCATGCCCTCTACAAAAGGTGGGTTGGAAGTGCCACGCCCACGCCCCCTTCGATCACCATCTCTTTAACGACCGCCCTTATTGAAAGGCCAACCCTATTTGGTTTCTACTATTCTGTCAAATACTTTAAAACTTTAAAATTTAAAATATGTTGGCTATTCGTCTGTTCATTGTTTTGCAATAGGTATTCAGTTCATTATTTCAAATTTTAATAAATGCATCTCTCAAGGTGTATTAAACAAGGTGGTGTTGGGGCGACAGCTGAGTTTTTCGCCGTGGAGGCCATTACGTCAAAATGATGTGTTTGTTGTAACTCATACCAATGACAGTATGGCCATCAGCGTATAATTTGTTAGTGTAATTTTTTACTTATATACGGCCAACACCACCTTGTTAAATACGCCTTGGCATCTCTGTTCGTGCCCTGAGTTCATTTTTCTTTCAGTGCTGCTCCTTTGATATGTTAGTCTTAAAATTTTACGCAAATAATTGTTTGTTCGTTCCACCACATTACAAAATCAGGTTTAACGAGCTTCATTGTTTATATAAAAAAAAAAATATGTATTGTTGCTATACACAAAATTCTAATTTCGTGTTGGCAATAGCCATGAAAACCATAATGAACGTGCAACCCTGTGCCAAACTCGAAATAACCAACTCCGAGCAACCTAAGCAGGCGCCATTTAATTTAGCAAACAAAAATTTGTCTGCATAACACCGACCTAAAATTCCAGTTATATCAATCTGAAACGAGAACTTTTCCCGTAATTTTCGGAATATGACAACACTTGTTCGTTTGCGAATTCATTTTCATTCCCTGTCGATTGTTACGTGTGTGTTGTTGGTGGAGTGCGCATCGTCGAAGTTTCAATTTTGATATAAAATCGGTATTTCTGTAAATATAAGGTGCTAAATTTAAAAGAAAATTGTGTAACTTTATTGGAAAAATACTACAAAAAGTGCAATACAAATAAAACTTTCTTTAATAAAGCTTACAAAGCAAATCACTGCATCTACATAAAAAAGTTTATTGGTTTTGGAAAAAGTGTGGAGGGGATAACGTATAAAAATCACGTACCAGCAAATACCAAGGAAGAAATACCTACAAAGAAAAATAGGAAACTGAAGCGTTCCCAAAGGACTGAAAATACAGAAAAATACCTGCCGTATTTTACAATTGACGAAACGCAATTGATCATAAAGCAAAACGCGAATAAGTATAATTAAAAAGCTTACAAAATTTTATAAAATAATAAGCAAATAAATAATTGTGCTCCAAGCTCCAAATAAATTTTAATTACACATAATAAGAAGTGTGCCTATACTAAGCCATTAAACCTAAAACAAGTGCAATCTCTTGTACAGACCAAGAAACTACAAACTTCCTTCACAAAGGAAGAATATTATCACTGCCTTGAAAATGCAGATCTCGTGCAAATGTTTAAATTTTATAGCCACCAGTAATAGTCAGGCGGCTAACAACAATGTTGGTATGATAAGTGGTAGCAGCAACAACGGGCCGGCAGTAACTGATGCACGACGAAGCTTTACAGATGATGAGCCAATGGCTCAACAACCAATTGCTGGCAGCAACAATGCCAGTAATGCAGGCGCCAACAATAACAACTCAAACAATTTGTGTACTTTATTGATGGAATCATTTTTGCAACGTTTTCCAAGAACGTTCATTTTCTATTCACAGTGCATGGAGTTCTTTAAGCAGGTAAAATATGTACATATATGTATAAAAAACATAGAATATGGGAAACATTCCCTTTGCATCTTAATACATACTTCTCTGCGTATTTAGAAATTTGGATGTCAATAATTTAGTATTTTCCTTGGGCTATATCGTGAGCCCAATGTTGATTTGTGCAATTTCATACATATGTATTAGATGTAGACGAAGATAAATAGAAGCAATCAAAATTAATGCAAATAAAAAACCATTTTGATTATTCTATTTTTAAATTCAGTCTAATACTTACTATATACCAATAATTTCCTTTCTGGCTCATAAGTAAACATTTCGCAAATGCTCTTAATGTCATAACACCTCCGTTACAAAACATGTAGACATATTCATATACTCGCACCATCAGCACAAATACCACCTAAGCACGCAATTCACAATCAGTTAAACGCCTATGATAACCTCCACTCCTCGCGTCCTCCATTCAAAAAATGTATGTATGTAAATACATATGCACATATTCTAATCAACGCCAACACCAAGCCAGCCAAAATAGCGATTATAAATTGTTTTGTTTATTTACCTACTCTGATATAAGTCGATTTAGGTATGTTTATATACAGCATCTGTCATATCAATAGCACCCCCACTTCAAAGAGATATTGTTTGCCACTTATATTTATTTATTCTTCCGAGTTTTCAATTAAAATACAGTTCATTCTATAACAACATCCAAAAAACCCAACTTTAAAACTTTGTAGACACCGAACAAAAATTCCACAAATTTCAAACTTTGTTCTCAGAAGTGTTAAATATTTTTGCAGTATACAATTTTATAGCCTATTAAATTTTAGTGCAATAATGTGCGAGTTTCGAGTAGCTAAAAATTACCGTTAATTTTTTAGAATTGTATTTTGCCGAAGGTGTTGCGGTTTTCTTCCATATAAAAATAAATTGGTATTTTTTCACGCATTTTCTTCTATAGATTCAAAGTATGTACCACATATGTTCAAACATTTTTTTATATGGAAAAAAATACGCAATACAGTCAGAAAACAGAAAAAAACTATCAAAAATTCTGTAGAGTTAGCACTATACTTTTCGAAATTAACTATGGCATTAATTGTAGTGTTTTTGTCGTAAATTTGTTGTGGAAAGAAAAAATTTGTAGCTGTTATTTTTTGGAAAATATGGTATGTAGTGCTAACTTGACACCGTACCCCTAAACGATAGAATTGTGATGTTGAAATGGTTATAAAGGGGTTAATTGTAGCTTTTTTGTTGTGGAAAGAAAAATTTGTACCTTTCCTTTTTTAAGAAAAAATGATATGTAGTGCTAACTTGACGCTATATACCATGATAAAGATATAGTAAGGTAGAACCGCTGAGAGTCACTTTTAAAATTCTTGACGTTTCCAAACAATTT